GTTTCACCATGTTGACCAGGATGGTCTCGATCTCTTGACCTCGTGATCCACCTGCCTCGGCCTCCCACAGTGCTGGGATTACAGGCTTGAGCCACCGCGCCCGGCCGTATAATTTTTTTTTGTATTTTTTGTTATCTCCTCAAGTTAAAGAGTTGGATAATTTAAATAAGACACATTTCACCAAGTGCTATACAAGTGTATGTTATCATTATTGGGTGTTATGGTGATAGAAATGAGCCAAACACACAATTGAAGAGTAGAGCAGAATTTTTTTAAAGGTGGGTCAAACAGCTTTATTTTTAATTAGAGCTTAAATGGTTATTTGAATGCTTACATTGCTAGTGTTGTTAATTGAAAAAATAAGAAATACTACTTCTAATACTTCATCACTGATAAATATGTAACCCTAAAATTTTTAGAGTTGAAGAATATAAGAACTTCATATAATTTTTTATTCTCTGAATCGAAAAGTCTGCATCCAGTCTCAATTGTGCTATTTGTGTGACTCTAGAACAGAAAAGGAAAATGGAAAAGGAAGGAAAAATGGTTGCTCCTTATATAATCACTTCGCCTGTAAAATGAAACCCACACTGTCTACCCTCTATGTTTGTTTTTTAAAAACCTCAATGAGCACCTCTGGAATATAACCAAGAACAATGCCTGGCAAATTATAAGTAGCTTATAAATGTTTGCTTATTTTTGTTTTATTTGTTTATTCCACAGATAACACAGAAAGATGAGGAAGTCTTAAATAGTTCATAAAATAAAGACTGCACCATTTGTTTTCAGATTTGTTAGATATAAAACTCTTTGTTAAAAAAAATATTGGATACGGCCAGGCATGGTGGCTCACGCCTGTTATCCCAGCACTTTGGGGAGGCCAAGGCAGGTGGATCATGAGGTTAGGGTTCGAGAACATCCTGGCCAGCCTGGTAAATCCCCATCTCTAATACAAATACAGAAAATCAGCCGGGCATCGTGGCATGAGACTGTAATCGCAGCTACTCAAGAGGCTGAGGCAGGAGAGTTGCTGAAGCCTGGGAGGTGGAGGTTGTGGTGAGCCGAGATCATGCCACTGAATTCCAGCCTGGGTGACAGAGCAAGACTCTGTCTCAAAAAAAAAAAAAAAATAAGTATATATGTACATGACTTGAACACAAACTCTAGTTATGCCTGGGCCTTGCTCCACCCACCACCCATTCCCCTCATGACATGACCCTTGACCCTGGACCATACTGTCTGCAAGACCAGGTAAATGAAGGAGACATCAGCTAAGAGTGACACTGGCTAAGGGGCAGGAGTGGTTTTGTGGGAAGTTGATAAGATTTGAGTGTGATGAGATTAAATACAGGATATTTGTTGAAAATGTTTAATAGGCAACTTCATATTTTGGCCTTAGTGTCAATCAGTGCTAATCCACACAGAGATCTTGAAGACATATTTTAGAGTTACAGTTGAAACCATGGGCAGAGATGAGGTCACTAAGGAAACTAGCATGAGCGGGGAGAGGGCCACGTTAGGTCAGGTGAAAGCAGACAGCTTTTAAAGGAGAAGGAAGGAGCATGAGAAGACTGCAATGGAAAAGCATGCCGGAACATGAGGCAGTTGGCAAGGGTTAAGGAATGAAGAAGTGAGAAAACATACAATGAAGTTAACATCAAAACGCGCGAGAAGTTGTTAGCTAGAGGTTGAAGAGAAGGTCAGAAAATGTTGAAGGGAGAGTGGAGCACATTTAAAAGTGAGATGAAAATAATTAGTGGAACAGAGAGACTGAAGATACTGTAAATAAACAAGCAGGGTGGAGCAAGCTTCTTTAGAAGACAGCAGGAGACAGATGCTAGTGTAATTGTGGGCGCAGAGAAGTTTGTAGGGAATTGAAGGAGCTCTCCTTCAACACTGGTGGCCTTAGTATTTCCTGTGGAGCTGCATGCGTGGAAAGGGAAAGGAGGTTATGGGAAGGGTCTTGACAGTGGTAAAGATTGAAATCATTGCTTCATAGTCATGCTTTACACGAATCTCAAGACTTCTAGTGTCAGATGCTGAGACAGGCACTAGAAGACAGCAGTAAACAAAACGCGCATGGTCTCTGCCCTTAGCTGGGTTCACTGGTAAACAGCTAGTATTGGAGGCATAGATGAAGTTGGATTCTTCAAAGTTTCCTTTGGTATCACTCAGTGCTCTGGGGGATGGTTTTAGGTTGTTCCTGGATGTATGGTGGAATAAGTAAGAGGCAAGAGAGTTGGGGCAAGGGAAGCTGATAATTCAACAAATGCCTACTGGGCGTCTCCTGCATGCCAGGCGCTGTGCAAAAGCATGGTTGAAGCAGTAGATTTTGATGGGCTGGAGGATTTAAAAAACAACTCTAGGAAGAGACATGTAAATACATAAGATAAAATAACAGATTTGATATACATGTACTATATTGACTTTATGATGTTGCTCGTTATTTTCTATATTCATTCCCCTTTAGAACCACTACACGGTTCTATTATGATTTAATTCTTGAGCTGGAAATACATAAATTAATGGTTTGCAACCATTAGTGACTAACAGTGAACTACTGGCATGTGCTTGGGACAGTTCTTTACAGCAAAGAACCATCCCACCAAAAATACCAATGCTACCTCACCCCCCACTGAAAAACTCTGAGATAGTCATTTGGAAGTGCAGCGCTTTTATTTAGTTTGTTAGTTCAAAATGTGGATTATATGATCTGCAAATTAAAAATTCTGAAGAGACCCTTTAACATCAGACTTAGTTTCTGTGTTGTCTTCTGACCAATAGGTCAGGTATTTGTGAGGTCTTCACCTTACTCGGCAGCCATTGCCTTCACCACAAATCATTTCCAAAAGACAGTGTGTGTGTGTGTGTGTGTGTGTGTGTGTGTGTGTGTGTGTGTGTGTATTTTATTTTGATACAGAGTTTTGCTCTGTCACCCAGGCTCGTGTGCAGTGGTGCAGTCTTGGCTCACTGCAACCTCTACCTCCCGAGTTCAAGTGATTCTCCTGCCTCAGCCTCCCGAGTAGCTGGGATTACAGGGTCATGCCACTGTATTGGGCTAACTTTTGTATTTTTAGTAGAGATGGGGTTTCACCATGTTGGCCAGACTGGTTTCAAACTCCTGACCTTGTGATCCGCCTGCCTTGGCCTCCCAAAGCGCGGGATTACAGGAGTAAGCCACTGCGCCTGTCCTGATTTTCTTTTCTTTTACAGCACTTCAGATTGTATTACCTCTAGCCAAAAATATGGCAGTTTAATGCTACAGTTACACCTAGTAATTCAGCTTTCTCATTTGACAATGCAGACTTAAGATGAGTTTAATGTTTGTCAAGTTCCATAAACGGATGCTTTTATCTTACAGAGAAGACATCATTGTAGTTTTTTCTGTTTATTAAAGTCTGGTAATTATTTAAATGCTCCACCAAAAATGATCTAGATAAAATTTTTTGTTTAAAAATTCTAAAAATAGGCCGGGCGCGGTGGCTCAAGCCTGTAATCCCAGCACTGTGGGAGGCGGAGGCGGGTGGATCACGAGGTCAAGAGATCGAGACCATCCTGGTCAACATGGTGAAACCCCGTCTCTACTAAAAATACAAAAAATTAGCTGGGCATGGTGGTG